CATGCACAGTTTCGGTTGAAAACCGAAATAATGCATTTGGCAAAAACCGAAATAAAGCATACATGCCCAGTTTCGGTTGAAACCGAAATAATGTCTAAATGCACAGTTTCCATATGCGCAATTTCGGTGCCCCCGTAAAACCGTATTTCACAGTTACATGCATACGTTTGTCGACAAAATATTTTTTCCGTCTGAGCAATACATTTTATTTGAAATAATTTACATAATTCTAAATAAGCAAAAAAATTAATTTTATTGTAAAACTAATCTCATTAGCTTTTTTGATTATTTTTAATTTTTTTCTAATTGGCTAAATTTATGATTATTTTTAATGGTAATCGGCAATTATTAATTTAAAAGTGGAAATAATGGTAATTAATCATTTCTCAGATTTAAAAAAAAAAATAATTAATTAAATCGGTAATCATTACTTAACAGCTCTGGTTTTATCTCCTATACCACTGATTGTTCAGATACCAGTTTTCGCGATATATCTCCTTTATGTAGGAAGCTAAACCTATTAAATTATGTTACCTGTTTACATACCGATCACACAGCAGAGAAAATCACTTAAATTGGTGCTATATAAGGTATATCTTCCATACCTCTGATTGTTTAGATATGATTTTTTATATATCGAGGGCTTATATTCAATACCCTCTATCTGCAATTTTGATGAAAATGAGTTTTTGATGGTAACGTGAGCTCCGATTAATCTTTCAGCCATGACAATAAGGTCAAACTTAAAATATAGCTTTAATGCTATTATATTCTCATTTTGAAAATTCCACTATCTGCAATAATATTTTGTTATAAGAGCAAACTCCTCTATCTACACAATTTCGCTGGAAAATTGTTTTTGTTAACATTTTTTGTGGCAGGTAAGTTACATGTGCCTATGTATGTATGTATGTATATGTTACCGGTAAAATCCGATCTTAGGTCAAACTAGTTTTGCCCAGGCTAAACTAATTCTACCTAATTCGATATATCTGTCCAACCGAAACCAAATTTGATACAACAAAAAAATCTCCCATATCCTGTCAAACTTAGAGTCATTAAACTCCATTACTCCATTCTATCTCAAGGGTCACCAAGAGTGGAAAACTGCTATTATTATTCCTATTGCCAAACTAAACAGAAACAATTCATTACTTTCTAACTACAGACCCATTTCCCTCCTCCCCAGCATATCTAAAGTATTACGCTGGAAAAATGGTGAGAGGATGTACAGTATTGTTAAGTCTTTCCTTTAC